CTGACGACGCATTCCTGTAAAGGCTGCGAAACGTCTAAATAAATAAATAAAATCATTGCATCTTACCCAGTGAAACTTGTTTTATTTAATGAGTGATGTGCGTGAAAATCTAAGAAACAAATGAGTATCCCTTGAAAAAAAACAGTTTTGAAAGAAAAACACGCGAACATCACAACACACTCAACAGTTCAACACGCATCACAATCTGCTTCAAATCTATTAAGCGTTACATAAAATTTCAAAGAAGGGTAAATAGAACGAATCTAATACGTAAGGTAAGTAAGTAAGCGTGCGATTGGTGCCGATTCATTCGCGATCCGTCACAGCCGCCTGCGCATCGCGTTTCCCACGTTGACCCGACCCCGCCGGTGCGTAATTTATTGGCTTGGACGCCACCGCCTTAAGTATAACTACCTGTGACCGCAGGTGTACCTCAAGAAAACAGGGCTGCCGCAGAGCATTTTATTTACAAACACATATAAGCATACACGACTTAGGTACAAATGCTCGTATTCATCATACTAATATTCCCCCCACTGGGATTCGAGACCTCACGAGTAGGTGACACGGAGGTCGTCGTCAAATTTAAAAAACGAGCGAACTTTACAGTAGACGCGTATGATGTGTAACATGTTTCCACTGGCTTTCTTGTAATTTGTGGTAGTGATTTCGTGAAATGAAACGGAAGGTTGTAACAGGAAATCGCGAAAGCGCGCGCTATTTGATTTGATTTTAGAACATAATGTTCAAATGGCTTATTCCTTTTGTAGTAGGTTTTATTTCTTTTTTTACTTAAAGGCGAGGTTTCAAATGTTACACATCATACGTGACTACTACGTCGCCTACTCGTGAAGTCTCAAATCTCAGTGGGGTGAATGTTAGTGTGATGAATACGAGCATTTGTACCTAAGTCATGAATGCTTATATGTATTTCTAAATAAAATATAAATGTATATCTATTCTATCCATTACCCTAGTATCCCATAACATAAGCCTTACAGTGCTTACTTTGGGGCTAAGCAGATTTTTGAGCTTCCTTGGTTAAAATTACATTGGTAATGTTGACCAGCGATTTAACAACTTTTATGATCACGTGAAAATTATAACAAGCAAATGAAAATGGTGCTTAAATTTATGTATTAGGTATTTCAATCAGGCATTACAACATTAATTTGTATCGACACCTTTTTTCAACCAAGCTCTCTAATAAACATTAAAAAAACTCTTTTTAAATACTCGGAGAGTTTATAAGTGCTTACGGATATGGAATAAACCTCAATACAACTTAAATTATAAGAAAAGAATATAAAAGTAAATGTTAACTTGAATCAAGTCGTATAAAATCATAAGAAAAAAATATCAACCAAGACGCAGGGGGCAGCCCTTACGTATTGTGTGATTTTCTTAAGTTGCGGACACATGAGGTCATAGTTAAGTAAGTAAAAAACCTCTAGGTGGGGCGTTATGGGAAATGAACACAGTAACATCACCGTATAATGTGCACCAAGCTTTACCCACCCGTAATATAGCACTTAGAATAAATTACCATCGCTTACTCATGGACAATTATGTTTTTTGGAGTTGTTACTTCAAATTTTAATTCAAATTGGCAGTGGGAAAAGATTTAATTAAACAACGCTTGACCAGAAAATTTACTAGTGTAATTTTTTTTAACGTGTTTTTATTCTATTCGTTTGAGGCATTTCATAAAACACTAATGTATTTTTTGTGAGAGTTTGATAATATTACGTTTATTTTAACGCATTGAGTGAATTTATTTGCACTGATAATAACTTTGCTCAGTTTTTTTTATTTTATAGGAGGCATACGTTGACGGCTCACGTGATGGTAAGTGATCAAAAAGAGTGACCCATAGATTATTATTAGATAGAATTATCATCATCATCATCAGCCTATTAATGTCTCCACTGTGCGGCACAGGCCTTCCCTATGGATCTAATAGGGAGATCGGGCCATGTCCCACCACGCGGGCCCAGTGCGGATTGGCGGGTGCTAACGTTTAATTTTTTCTAGTCATATTTTCTTTAGATTTCAACATCAAGCAGTTACATGCTTTAAAATTATAAAAATTGTAGCTATAATTACTATTTCTTCTTTCAAATGTTTAATACTTGTAAAAGTATTCATTTGACATTGTGGGTTACCTATAATGCGAAGAGATGGCGCTGCCTTGCAGCTTAAGAATGGCTAGAGGAATTTCGACTCGGTCCGTGAGGGCCACGGTAGCATAATTGGTCAGTGCATTCGCCCGGATTGCGAAGGGTGCGGGTTCGAGTCCCGTCTGCTGCCTGGTCCGCGTGGAATTTTTTCTAGTCATATTTTCTTTAGATTTCAACATCAAGCAGTTACATGCTTTAAAATTATAAAAATTGTAGCTATAATTACTATTTCTTCTTTCAAATGTTTAATACTTGTAAAAGTATTCATTTGACATTGTGGGTTACCTATAATGCGAAGAGATGGCGCTGCCTTGCAGCTTAAGAATGGCTAGAGGAATTTCGACTCGGTCCGTGAGGGCCGCGGTAGCATAATTGGTCAGTGCATTCGCCCGGATTGCGAAGGGTGCGGGTTCGAGTCCCGTCTGCTGCCTGGTCCGCGTGGAATTTTTTCTAGACATATTTTCTTTAGATTTCAACATCAAGCAGTTACATGCTTTAAAATTATAAAAATTGTAGCAATAATTACTATTTCTTCTTTCAAATGTTTAATACTTGTAAAAGTATTCATTTGACATTGTGGGTTACCTATAATGCGAAGAGATGGCGCTGCCTTGCAGCTTAAGAATGGCTAGAGGAATTTCGACTCGGTCCGTGAGGGCCGCGGTAGCATAATTGGTCAGTGCATTCGCCCGGATTGCGAAGGGTGCGGGTTCGAGTCCCGTCTGCTGCCTGGTCCGCGTGGAATTTTTTCTAGTCATATTTTCTTTACATTTATTTTTCGTTTCGTAATAAGTGAATCATTAAAGCCTTACAGTACTTGCGTATGATGTGTAACATTTGAAACCTCACCTTATATTAATAAGAAAAAGAAATTAAACTACCAAAGGTATAAGCCATTGGAACATTATTTTTTAAAATCAAATCAAATAGCGCGTGATTTCGGACTTCCTGTTACGAACTTCCGTCCCATTTCACGAAATCACTCCCACAAATTGCAGGTAAGCCAGAGGAAAGATGTTACACATCAAAAAATTGTGTAGCGGTATGCTCACTGTTCGTCTAGTTCAAAATCAAATTCATTCTTAGAATCACCCTTTATGCATAACATCGATTGACTTATAATATGAAACACGGCAACTTGAACTGTTAACTTGTAATATGGAAAAACTTTCAGCTGAAGCGGCTACATAAGTACTGGTTCGCAATAATCTAAAGCACAATAAAAAGGATATGCTCATAAGAATTGTGTGAATTACCACCAGAAAAACTGTAATGGCTCTGGCCATTGTTTGTCCCATCAAGGATAACCCGTTTTTATGGTTTCACAAGGCGATTACACAGTGTGTGTTTCCTTGATTGAGTAAATACTCAATGGTTAAATGGTTGTTGTGCATTGCATATTAGACGTGTTGCATGATAAGACACTATTTAATATTGCAACAGATTCCGAGTAATGACAGTACTCGCCTATTGTTTTATTATTTATGAGAAGGTACTACCTACTTATTTTAAACGTCGGGATTCAATCGATCGTCTTTTTTTCTGTATGATATGAGATGAAAAATAACAGGCTACAAGATTATCTATAATATAAAAATGAATTGCTGAATAATGTTGCTAAGCGCAAATCTCGAGAACAGCTGAACGGATTTCGATAATTATTTTTTTAGAATATTCCTTGAAGTACGACGATGGTTCATACGCAGAGAAAAATTAAAAAAAAATACATGAAAAAGTCCAGAAAAACTACACTTTTCTATACTCTCATACAACCGATTCGTAATTATGCTTAAAAGACAATTTGAACTTTAATACCATACCATAAATTTCAAATGTTAGTGGAGAGGTTCCGGAAAGATAAAACAATTGATTGACGTGATGCCAATAGATGTTTGGAAAAGACATATATACCATTTTCATTTTTTTTAAATAATATGAAGAGTCATTTTAGTCTACACTATAACTCTACACCGAAGCGAAGCGAGGGCGGGCCACTAGTGTAAAGATAAAATATTATATGTGGATATTTAAAATTTATATTAAATTATATTGATGAGTTAAAGTATAGGCTAAATGACAACGGTTCCCTACTCGACCAAACCTGCAATAAAATGGCATGCATTTCATTTCACATTAAGAAAAAGTCTCTTATACAATTATTCTACCCAATAGTCTACCTACGCTTAGCAATACTGTCAAACAAAAGAAAACAAAGTACACAAACAACACAGCAGTGAGTCACCTTTGAAAACAATATGAAGTGATTTTCAACTGTTTTTCAAAAGCTCACGTTCCCACGACTACGGTCTAAGGCGCATGACTTTTCCGCCCCGGTGCGTCCAACCTATCACACCACACGATATGGCATTGTGTGAACTATATTACGGAATAACAAAGAACTATCGTATTACGAGTACTGATGAAGCTCCTGAAGATATTTGGAATGGAAAGAGGTTTTCATACATAATTTGACTTGAAGAAGAAATTGCTCCTTCAAACACCTGTGGATAAAAGTGGAAGAGTATTTTGTGAAGCAGTATCATAGACAAGTCCTAACAACTAAACTACTTATCGTCATCCTTTTGGAATTCGGAATCATTTTTGGAGAAAGCTATAACCTATCTTAAAGAAATAGTATCGATTAAAACGAAAACAATGCAGTTGGTTTAATATTACAATGATTATTTGAACGGATTATTATACGCCATAAATTATTATAGGCTATTTTCACTCAAATTGCTGAAATCTTGCAGGAGCCTCTCCCCTAGATCGTAACTTCATAATTGCATACATTATGTATAATAAAACATAAACACATACCTTTATATGTGTCATCCGATGATAGTACAGATTGGAACTGGCAGTAAACCGCTTCCCACAATGTTGGCACTGGTGAGGTTTTTCCCCGGAATGTATTCTTCTGTGGGTATTTAAGCTACTTGATGTACTAAACCCTTTATTGCAGACCATGCACACATGAGGCTTTTCACCTAAAAAAAATAAGCATGAAACTAATTTCTATTCTTGATTATGGAAATGAAAACAATTTGTATAAAGTGTTTTGACTTATAATTGGCGGTACTAATCAAAGTCAAGAGGAAATAAACTTTAAATAAGATAAACGGAGATTCATCCATCAAATTTAATTAGCTATTTAAATACCAATAGAGGATGGAATCAGCGTTAAATAATTGCGAAGTGTTGGATTGTGTCTATATGCGAGAATGATAAACACCAATCCTTAATAGAATAAATTACAATTAATTGAGTAGCTACAATTAAAAAAAAACTTGTAACGACTTTTGGGCTTACCAGTGTGAGTCCTCATATGTCTTTTGAGAAGTGATGGCCTGTCGAACGCCTTCCCACAAACTTCACAAGGTAATAAAGCTCTTTCGGACTTAGCTGGTCTTCTTTGGATTTTCGGGGTCATTTCTAATAATTCACTTGACGAACCAGCAGACGATGATGTAAGAGAATCCCCCGATACAGATTTGTGTTCATCCTCTGCACCCGATGGTGGAGAAATTGGTAACAAAACTCTTGACAGTAGTGACGTCGACAGATCTAACGGTGTATCTGTTGAGCAATAATAAAAAATGTTTCCTCCGTCAGTGTTTAACGCTAAATCTATTTAAAACTGATTGTGCCTCTGATAATGGTGTATCAAAGAAGCCATTAATTAATCAAGAGGAAATATTTAATTTAAATCTTTTCTTCCTCATAGTTATCTGCTTAAGACCATGCCAATTTTACGGTGATTAGAAGAGTGGGCGCCTTTTTATGAGATCGAATTATTGACATTAAGAATATGGAACCAATCACGGGGCTAGATTTGATGAACTAATATCTAATATTATACAACTGTAAATTCTTAATGGATTTCTAGTCAGTTTAATGTTGATTACAACCTGTCGAGACACTTTGAGAACATTCTCAATTAGTATTATACTTTGAGACGTATTATTGGAATGTTTTGGACTTACACCTTTTAAACAAATGTTGTTGTCTATAGATTATTTTCCCGATAAAAGGACAGAGTTTCGAATTTTAAACGGTTTATAAAGGAATATAGGTTTAATTTGCAAGCTGTAGCAAGTCTTGTATTTAAAGATCTTGGTATACGAAATCATTGATAAGGCGAGACGTCTAGACAGATGGTGGCACGATAAGATCACTCACTAGTTAGCTGTCTGCGCTTCGCTTTGCCTACTCTATTTGCTGAGTTGATATATTTTCTGTTTCCTCCTGCGATTTTGTATCTTCGGCTCTGTTTGAAGTGTTTCGCATTTCTAATTTATATTAATTTACTATCATCAGCTATACTAAAATAAAATTGTGTTTTAGTAGAAAATAATATATATCGACTGCTGTTTGGGCATAAATTTTATGTTTTTTCACTATGACTTATGTTATTTTCTTATCGAACATTCATTGAACTCTTACAAGATCTAATTATGTTCTTGCAAGTTTTTTTTTTCTTCGTGAATTTAAACTTATTTGTTCGAAGTTATACTCTTACACAATGCTATGCTTATTAAGTAAAATGTAAAGAAGAAAATTCTAGTTAAAATTGCACGCGGTCCAGGCATCAGACAGGATTCGAACCTGCGCCTTCCTTAGTTTAGACTGTGCTTCTTCTTTGAACATAAATTGATCATACGAGGATACTAAACATTATACAATGTATGAAATTGAAAACGTCATTTACGTCGTTTTCCTAAACTGATATCTTAGTTGATAACAAAGATAACAATGTCATAATTCCCATTTCGCATCGCCACTTTCGTGGCGGATCTACTGACGGTGGCTGTGGCGGTTCAGTTTTATCGTCCGTTCTAAATATAACACAGCATCCGCTGACAGTTGCGTTCGGATTATCGACTGCCGATGCCGATGCCGCGGCCGGGCCAGGCAGGACCGATCCGATCGGCTCTCTGCCGCAAACGAAGCCGCCACTCTTATCTGGTAACGCAACTGGTAAAGATGCACTCACATTGGTATGCATGCGATTCTCATGACACGTGTTTAATATAGGTACTTAGTTGCAATCATTATTAATCCCGATAATCTAGACATTCAAAAGGTACATAAAATTAAACCTTGAGTAACTTTTTTTTCAAGTGCCGTAACATTTGAGGAATATTGAAATGTAAATTTTAATTTTGTTTTGAACAATTTTACTCACTTCCAGCTTTATGTAAATTAATGTACATTATTATTTTGTCTAATTTGACCGGACTATATAGGTATATATATTTATTTTTATACGTGTCAAGTTTATAAGGACTTGATTACGTTTGTTGTTATTGTTGGTTGATACTTTTTGTTAATTGGGAAATTATTGAGTATATAATTAATTAGAGGTTATTTTGTATCTTCAATATTGACATTATAGATTGATTTAAAAAAAGATAAAACAAACTACGAACCTACGAGTATGTTATTGTTATAGGAAATATTGGATGATTGGAATTTGTAATTGTAAGCCAAAAAACTGACGTTGTAATATTTTTTCATATGTGAGAAAACCTTACCCTTTCATATTAATTTTGAATCCTCGAATATGAATATCAGGAATATTACACCAAACAATGTTTAAACATTTGGACACTAAATTTTATAAGATTTTTATTTAAATTACATACATATTTTTTATTAAAACGGCTAAAACCCACGGTACAGGCTTAGTTATAAAAAGATTAGAATGTTTAACAACTTGTATGAAAACACATGATCGTCGCAGCCTTATATCGATAAAAAAGCAATCATGACGTCGGAGCAGCGACAGACTACCGAACCGAGACGCCTGCGCAAGTAGCCAACTCCTTTTGATACACCGCCACCGAACCATATAGATCTGGCGATTTTTTATTTGATTTTATCAAAATAAATATCCATATTCATACTTAAGTAAGTACCTTTTAGAGCAGTGTTTCCTAACCTTTCCAATACTGCTACCCCTGTAACCTATTAGAAAAACAGATTTTACCCCGACTTTGAAGTGTTATCATCAGTCTCAGAAATTCCAATTTGGCTGCTACATCTTCGTCGCACACTCAGCACCCCGCGAGCTCGCTAGCAAGAAGGAGCGCATGCTCTATTTAGTAGTATCATTATATAGTATTTTCTTATTATTTAGATTTGACCAAATAATTAGGTTCTTTGTTACCCCCGAAGTATGGCTGATTTACCCTCGGAGGGGTAATTACCCCCAGGTTCGGAACCCAGTTTTTAGAGATTATTGGAAGTACATTTTCAAGTATGCTGTCTCTGACGTGTTACAGAATTCTGTCTATTACACGTCTTCCTTCGCAGACGAGGTCTTTTGTCCGCGGAGTTTTTTGTCCGCCAATTAAGATCGCTTACAACTGCTCGGAGTAAAGCACATGACGGATTTAAAGTACCGCGAAAAGTACAAGTTTTTTTAAGTACCGCGGACAACCGAGGACACCAAGAGACCGGACTGGATAAAACGGTACGGGAGTGTCCTCAAAAACAATAGAACCCGTGTGACTGGACCATACTGAAAAAAGTTTTCAGTTACTTAAACCAAAAAACTTTTAGGTTCCTATTGCATAAAAATAGTGACTCACTATAATAATAACTATAGTTATTAGTAGACAAACCCGGTTTTATTAAAATAGTTTCGTTGTTATAACAAAATTCTTATGTTAAATTTACAAAACTATTTTGTTAATTCTTACACTTGTTCAGTAATTGGTTACAAAATGATTGCTTCAGTATAGCTTCACTATACTGTTATTTGTAACCTAACCTATCTATTTTGTTATCTGAGCAATGAAACTTGACTTTGTTACAATTCCTCAGTGGACATTTATTCACGATTCAGGAACTTTTGTCCTCCACCCACGGTCAAAGTCTAAGTCCAGCGTCTGAACGCCACAAGCCGTTGATAGTGTGACTATGACTAATTGATGAATGCAGTATACAAAGATCAAAGTGGGAAGGAGCAAGTGGCCATTTCCGACCGTGCTTCGTGAAATTCTGATGGAAACCTTGTCCAAGACAAACATGACACCAACAAAAGTTAATGTTATTTTGCTATCTATTTTCAAGTTAGTATTTTACTAAGAAACACAATACAAAACTATAAAGGAAGGAAACAGAAGATGCTACTTTGAATGTAATGTTGAAAGCTGCCGTACAAAAGATTTCAACGCTTCTGTCGCTGATTGTAAAAGCTCTTTTGCGTGATAAATTACAAAAAATCAACCAATTTTATAATATCGAAAATCGAAACTAAACATCATTTATTATATTTTTTTTTGAGAAGGTCAAAACGGAATTTTCGCTCGAATTGGAGCGCGCGGCTGGGAATTTAACTTCCACCTCACAGTAGATCATAGAAAAATATCACTACCTTTTGGTGGTATTGTGTTTCTGTCGGTTACAGGGCTCCACAAGGTAAGGGATTGAGACAGGGTAAGCGCGGTGCGAGTAATGTTGTTGGTATTGCAACTCGCGAGAGAAATTGCAATTCGCAAGCGTTTATAGGCTTGTATGGTGGCTTGTATTAGGCGGGCATCATAATATACATATTAATGAACCCATATTTGCCTAACTGTATCATTATTAACTTACGATTAAATATTATTTTTACTTTTCGTAAATACAAATTTTCCAAATAAATCCTAATCTTAGACTACTATTCTAAGAAGATCTAATGAACATAGTTACAGTTAATTTTATATTTAAAAAACCTGTACTTTATTTTATTTTCTTTTATTTCGAAAAGTTAAATTCTACGTCTACCCTTAAACTCTATTCCAAATATTGGTGAAAGAATGGGCTTAGCGTTTTCTGAGATTAGATCCGTAGTTGAAACTAAGACTTCTGGCTTATTAATACCTATTTATTTATATATTTTATAATATGCAAGAATATTTACTTCTCGAGATATTTTAATTTCAAATTGAAATTTCTTAGTAATGTATGCTATCGAAGAAATTTTAGCCGAATCGCCTTTCCTTATTGAATTTGTAGAGCGCCTTTAGCCTACGCTTAAAATAGATTGAAATTCTAAAACGTTAACTAGAGTTTTACACACTATCATTACGGCCATGCAACTCAACCTTATGGCGGTTATAAAACGTGCATTTCAATGGATTGATCTACTTTCTCTTTAACATCGATTAAATTAAATAATACCACCTGTCATAATAAAACCTACCACATTTTTTTAAATTAATTCAAGACCTATTATTTCTTTAGAAGGCGATATTTTTCTGCCCGATCTGACTAAGCACCATGGTATTAACATAACATTAAATCCGAATAAGCTACCAAAAAGGTTTATAAGTGGTTTACATGAACTTATGTTTTTTGTTTTAATTTTAACTCTTTACAAAGTTACATAAAGCTGAATTGACATTATGAAATTAGTGGTGTCGATTCTGGCAAGATTCTCTAAACTTAAAACTAAATTTAATATCAGTCTCTCCTTTTCATTCTGTATGACGGGATGAGACTGACAAGGATACACTGTTGTCAATTTTAAGCTTAGTTTTAGAGATTCGTGCCGGAATTGACACCAATGGCATGAAAGTACTTAAGTGATATCAATTTTATCAACAATGTCACACGTAAATGTCACACGTGCACATGCCATTAATTTCTAATTTCGTATTTTAAATTCGACTTGAGCAAATCGCTTGATGTGATTAACGGATTTTGATGAAACTATTATTTCTAAAGTTCTCACTGAACATTGAAAAAAACGCAGCAAGAACACAAGCACATTTGTCATGACAGCACGCTTTGATATCACGCTCGCATATTATTATATCCCGCTCTTCAAATATAGCTTGAGATTTTACGATTTTAATGATTAAAGTAAATCACTTGTTTAAATAAATTCTAACTAAGCTGAGTCTAGAACTGATAACATCCCAATCTCGTGGTGCTTTGAAAACTAAGTAGAAGTTTTAGCAGAAGAAACTATACTCTTGCCCCTCTAGCATGACCACCGAAACGGGATATGATAAAGCGATATATCGCCATTAACTGTCAGACTATAATCAAACTCCACTTTAGTCTGACAGTAAATGCCGATAGATCGCTTTATCATATCCCGTTTCGGTGGTCATGCTAGAGGGGCTGGACACATCTACCGGCCACTGGGCCGGTGCCTTAAAGTGCTAACTGTAGCACTTTAAGTTTTGTGGTTCCCTAGCTTAAAATAAGTGTTACATTGAGCAAAATGTTCTTAAGCGGTTTTGATCTGATTTTATTTACCATCTTTTTCGTGTTTTCTCCAACCTGACATACGTTTTTGCTAAAAACCGTTGAAACTAATGACACTAAATGGGCCGATAGACGTGTCCGGAAGTTAGTACATAAAAATATACCTTCTAAAATGGAGTCCATTGTTTGTCTGTACAGGTTATTCCTCATTCTGACAAAGAACATCTCTTCAGGTCTCTCAGGTAGGTAGTAGACCACCAGCTCCGTATGTGCCGACACTGGTTTCACCGCCTCGTACACTGGCTCGCCTTTGACTTTCGTACATACTAAATTTACCTGCGAATATTTCATATTATTAAGCATTTGCATTGGAAATTTTCATTTATATATATGTGGATATTATAAATTCAAAATTATAATAAAAGCTATATTTACTGGCCGGATTGTTTGAACAAAAATAAAAACATATTAACTAAATTTGACTATCTGTCAATGTCACTTCATATACATAGTAGAAATATAAGTTATTTGCGGAATTGTCACCATGTACCTTGTTTTTAGCGAGTTTCCGATATTTCGGCACTGTTGCAAGCACCATGATCACGGAGTAATTGATAAATAACTTATATTACTATAATATGAGTGACCATGAAAGTTTGAAACAATATACATAGTATACGTAGAAGGCGTGAAAATTTAACAAAAAGCTTTTTTTTCTATATCCTTTTAAAACCACTTTTAACTATGTATCAAACAACGCAGCCGACAGGTGCAGTAAGATTTTAATAATAATCATAAAAAAAAGTTTATTCTACCTAGATCGATAGAGTTAGGAAACGCAAATTATCTGTTCAGATCGATATCGAAGTTGGCGAATTTCTTTGGGATAGCAAACATAGAATTAAACAACATCTAAGTAATGAAGCGTCAAATTAAAATGTCTTGAAAAAAACAATAACAAAAATGCCTTACTCACTTGGGGTCCGTAATTTTCTGAAACCCGAAGAAACCTGACCCAATTGCAGTGTCTCACTTGTACTCCGCCCGAGGTGCACACTTCGTCGAATAGCCCAAACCGATGTCTTATCTGTCGACAAAACACATGCACTTATATAAATGTATGAATTCAAACTATAGATATAACATGCACATTAAGAATTAAATGTAGGTGTAGCAAAGTGACAATGTTGCGAAGCTAAATTTGTGTGAATGTCAATTTTGTGAGTGACATCTGTGGTTTCGGTTGATTTCTAATGTTTTTTTTTAAATCAATAAATACAAAATACAGTGGTGTCTATTCTGGCAGGGTTCTCTTAACTTAAAACTAAATTTAACATCAGTCTCTCCTTTCCTTTCTGTCTAAAGAATGACAGGGATACACTGTTGTCAATTTAGGTTTAGAGAATTGTGTCGGAATCGACACAAGTATTCATGTTTCCAAACCATATACTCGTACTATTAAACAAATTCTCACTAGTCCCAAGATGATATTATCACACTAATCACACTTATAAAGGCGAAAGTTTGTGAGTGTGTATGAGTGTATGTTTGTTTCTTCTTCACGTCTAAACGGCTGGAGCGATTTGAATAAAATTTGATATGGAGTTAGCTGACACCCTGAATTAACACAAGCTGCATTTTACTGCGGGAAAATATCCCTAAAAAACCGCGGGTAACACCGCGGGGCACAGCTAGTATTTATTAAAAGGGCGAAAGTTTGTGAGTGTGTATGTTTGTTACTTCTTCCCGTCTAAACGGCTGAAGCGATTTTAATAAAATTTGGTATGGAGTTACTTGACACCCTTAATTTACAAAGAGGCTACATTTTACTGTGGGAAAATATTCCTAATAAACCGCGGGTAACATAGCGGGGCATAGTACATTATAAAATAAAATCATCATAAAATTTTGATTGAAATTGCTACACTTAAAAAAACTACTACGAAAATTATGTACAGCTTACATACAATTATGCGCGCAATTCAGTAGTAGCTAACAGTCATTCAGTACCGTATCTAGAGAAATATCTCGAGTGCAATATGCATAACCGCATTATCATAACACGATGTAAATTGCGTGCATTTCTCTAATCGGTCCCCTGTCATAGAGTATGAGAATAAAATACAGAGATAAGTCGACTCAGATTATGTTTATTAACGCGTTTGAGATGTGGGCTTAATAAATTGTTAATGGTGTTTAAACAGTATGTTTGAAGTAAAAGCTAAGAAGAATTAGCTTAGTTTAGAATAAATTTCGATTCAACTAGGTAATCGGTAGGTAATTAACGTTACTTTTTTGTGATTAAAACTTAGTCAAATTTCAACAAAGTTCTTGATCCTAAATATGAAATCGTTTTTCAATACTTCAAATATACTAGCAACTGCCCGCAGCTTCGTTCACGCGAACTTTAGTTTTTTTAGAATCCCACAGAGACCTGACATTTATCCGGATAAAAAAATATCTTTTATCTCTAAATTAAAACAACTATACGCGTACCAAATTTCTTCCAAACCCATTCGGTAGTTTTTACGTAAATGAGTTATAAACATATAATAGTACAAGTAAATGATGGTAGGAAAAAGGAGGTACTTCAGTCCTGGGGTTTAATAAATAAATAAAGTCCTGTTGAATTTCAACACAATTAAAACAGATTTTTCTCTCCCTGGAAAAAGTATTCATCAGATATGGAAGTATACCAACAGTAGTGTTATCATTTCAATTTTTAAGGTGACAGGTGACATTTCTTTTCAATAGTGTAATAATTTATGCGGCAGATAAGTTTTACCCGAGAATTGAGAAATCGGCTTTTAAAGGGACTAAATTAAATGCAACTTACGCTCATTTCATTTCGTATTTACAACTCATAAAGTATGTACAAAACTGTGCGCGATCTCGTATTCGTGTCTTAGCGTATCTGCGTCGTACATTTTCTAATCTAGGGCCTTTCAAGTTGGCTTTCAACTAACCGCCGGTAGAAAAGGTTATTCGTAATGACGTGAAAATTACAACAAATATAAACGAGTTGAGCGTATGCGTCGAGCCGCAAGATTCAATCCGCCATTTCGCAATTAATGGATGATATGGCGGCGGAGATATTATATACGTACTATAGCGAATTGTTTTAATGATGCACCAAGTAATTTGTGGTAATTGAAATGTTTCGTTGGTACCTACCGGAACACGAGTTCCCCAGTGGCTTAATCTGAGATTTTTTAAATACTTTTACGTGGATAGTGCAAAAAATTGGGTATGGAACTTATGAATGGAATTTGTTTTTAGCTCGGTTTTGATTCACCTCACAGGCTTTGTAATGTGAGTATGTTTATTTTAAACTAGCGGCCCGCCCTCGCTTCGCTTCGGTGTAGAGCTGAAGTGTAGACTACAGTTTTTGTTCTCAGGCTTGTATTATACACAATGACATTCATCTATGATTCTTCTTATACCTGCATGCAAAGTCTCAGCCCGATTCGTTTAAAATTGACAAAGTTTCATACAAACTTTCATTTCCTATTTTATCCCTTTGGGGGTAGAATTGATCAAAATTCTTTCTTAGCAGATGCCTACGTCATAACATCTACATCCAAACTATCTCCATGCCAAATTTCAGCCCGATCCGTCCAGTAGTTTGGACTGTGCGTTGATAGATCACTATGTCAGCCAGTCAGTCACCTTTGAGTTTTATATATATAGATTGTAGACATTTTATTGAAAGGAAACTTCTGTAAAACACAGGACTTATAATAATTTTAACTTTTATCCTCGTCTTCCACCCCGGCCCACCTTGTATCGATTTTCAATTCAAAATGTAAAACGGGCCACGCATAACAATACAGTTTCGTCTCAAGGCCTAAGACGAACCTTTTTCTGGTAGCACCGACCTAATAAATCTCGATCCCGTTACGCGGGGGCTGGATGCGTCCGATCAGTCTGGATTTCGATGTGGTAGATAGTTTTTGTTCCCAGATTTTCGATTGAGCGGACATTTCTTTCGGGTTACTCTTTTATTGTAGTCCAAATTTCAACACATTTCTTCAATAATTCTTCATCTCACTAACTTAATACATTATTATGGATTAAACGAATTTCACAAGTTCAAATGCGAGTAACTACCATGTTAATTTTGAGATGACAGAAATTGCAATACATTTGAAAAAGGTTTAATCAAATCCCGTAGTACACATGGACCAACCGCATTGCGCAACTAGCTCTGCCACAAGTAATTGCTTCGAAAAATTTGCCCTAGTGACACGTATATATAGTTGGTTCATGGGTTCTTTAACAAATCAATGATTCCCGTAGTACCAATGTATGAACCAACCGCATTGCAAACCCAGTTGTGACCTACGTTTAAGACCCCTATGTTATTTATAGTTCATTCTGATGAACGTTCTGTTTTTTGATAAGTTTATGAAACGTTTAAACTTAAATAATACGCTACTCGTAATATTATCCATAGAAAAATACAGACTTATAAAGCGCAGCAAAATACTTTAGCCTTTATCAAGTGAAATCTTGTTACGAAGATAGCTAGATGATAATCAGAACGTGTCACTTCAGCCTTGCTAAAATTGATAAGTCTTACCCACTACTTCGTTGTAGGACTTTTAGAATCTTACTTACTGACAGAAACCAATTTAACCAAAGCTTTCTGAGATCACAGGTCTAACGAGCTGGCAATTCACCGGATAGTAAATGGTCACTGCTACCTATGGACACTTGTGGCACCAGGGGTACTACTCACCCCGGCTAGGCCGGGAGGCTGCGGAGACGCGGAAGAATCCCTAAACGGGGATCCCGCGGTTACGCACTAAGCAGCACCCTCGAAGGGTATTCGCAGGGTTTTTTAGCGGATATTATGCCGTAAAACGCCCGTAAGAGTTACGGGGTCCTCAGTGGGCACCCGCTGCGGCCAGTGAGGAGGAGTAGCCACGCCAAAAATCGGTGTTACGTGCACCTATAAATGTTTCACATCAAAAAGAAAAGTATACCTGCCGTGCGCTCTGTTTGAGCTAATTTTTATTGTGAATAAAATACAATAATAATCCCAGATTAATATTGGCGCAATGCCTTATATTTCTTATAATGTCATTGTTATTTGAAATTTGGTATATTCTGTAATTATAGCGGAAAAATTCATGAGCCATTTAAAATTGGATAAAAACATCTCGATCGTGCTGAATCGAAATAAGGTCTCTTTTTAATTGTTTTATTTTTGCGACCAATTAGGTAGGTACTTGTTTTTTTTTTTTCCTTACTAATGCATCGCTTTTGGTCGATTGAGATGTCATCGATCCATATCTTTGTATAAATAAGAATGAACAAAGAATTTTAACGACTTCTCATTTATGAGCTTAACTTGAATATTGTATGACCATGCAGTACAATATAATTGGTATACTTTTTAGTATACATTTTAATACTTTGCTACAAAAAATATGCAAAAACTCTTTTCGATGGATATAATTTTGGGAAGCATTCATCTAAAACTTTATCTTCATAAGTTGAAAAAACACAGTTGATAAAAATGAATAAACAAAATGTATTAAAATGAATTACAATTTTTAAAAGAGAGATAATTATTGATGACATTATAATGATTTTGTAAAAAATAATAACAAACAAATGAAGTTAAGTATCCCAAATTAAGACGACGTTTTTTATTGCTCATGTAAATATTTGCTCTTATCTACACACTATAAACAATGACTGATTCATCAATATGGGAGTTCTTCTCAAAAAAATGTATAATTTTATCATTCATTTAGTAGGTAGGCAACCATTATCGGAAAATTGCTACACTTCTGTTCAAATCACCGTGTTTCCAGCTAAGAGGATAGATTACTCAACGTCGGTTGGACGGTCGCGGCACAAGATCATAATTCCCCTTATCGTATTTACGGACAGGGAGACGGCTCCTTGAATCCTTGCCGTATCGCACTGCGCCGGGAGCGATCACGATCTGAAACCACATGAGTAAGTAACTAAGACACAGAGACAAAGTTGTGTTAGTGCGAATTTCTTAATGCTTATTCAAATTAAATAACAAATGCGATAGAACAAACAAGGTCAAATTGATAAACGAGTCAA